GCCAGTGCGTGGCGGCCTGCTGCGCCGAGCCGCGCTGTTCGGTGGCCGTGGTGGAGCTGCCCCCGCGGCCCGGGCTGCCGGCCGCCGCGCCCGGCTGCTACCTCTTCAATTGCACTGCGCGCGGCCGCAGCGTCTGCAGGTTCTCGCCCCACCGCGGCTACAACAGCTACAGCCTCAGCCATGCCGCGGAGACCGAGCCGGGAGCCCTGGCAGCCGCTATCCCAGACTCCCCGGCAGCCGCTGCCTCGCCTCCGCTCGGTAAGCAAGGCTGGCGGGGTCTGTTGTCATTAGACCTGTGGGGTGGCTGGACACCTGCTTAGGCAGGACCACTGGGCCCTCCTCAGCCACCTTCGGGAGAAACACCCTGATTCTGAGTTGTTGCAGAGGAGTGTCTGATTTCTCAGACTTAGGGGGTGGTTTCTGAAATAGCCCAGTCAACTGGCAGAAGCGGGCATGGGGGGGGAGGCTACTTCTGGGACTTTTGAAGGCTTGGCGGGGAAGGGTGATCCGAGAAGATTCACAGAAATTCGAGGTAAAAAAGGTGAAAAGCTCAGAGCAAAAATTATGAAGGTTTATTTTAGTTTCAGAGGTATGATTTTTGTCAGATAATTGCAAGAGCAAAATCTAATCAGGTGCCGAGTTGTTCATAACACCCACCCCTGTGACTGCCATGGATTCTTATCATTCCACCCAGAGTTGCTTTCATCAGACAGAGATAGGAAGGAAAACGCTCAGGTCTTCTTGACGTGGAGCCCAGCCGATTCCCACGAACTCCCTGTCCCCTTTGACAAAGTGGAAAGAAGGGACTTGCTGTTAGTTAAAAAGGAAGAAAGAAAGGCACATCTTTTTTAAAAAGAGCTAAAAATAATACTTTCAATTTGGTGATTTTATTTCCTGCAAATGCTCTGAATGAGAATTTGTACACATACAGGAGGCACAAAAAATTGTAGCCGTTAGAGGTGGACGTCACTGAAGGAATATAATGTGGATTGGGCCCTTTGTGGTCCAGCTCCGTGTCTTTGAATCCTACTCTGATGCTGTTTGATTTGTAATAACACAAGAGTGACATCATTAGATCATTAGTAAGGTTATCTGGGAGAAGGTGGGAGGAGTCTTGGCCACTTGGGAAACTGGGAGGAGATTCAGTGGTACCCTGTGGGTCTAAAGAGAAGGGGGCTTAAAGTCTGTCCATCATTCCCTGGGTCCCTCTCCCACCCCTAGGAAGAGGAGGCTTAGAACCCTTGGTGGGGGAAGCAGACATCAGAAGTGCACCCTGCAAATGCCCAGCCTTGAGGCATATGCTGGGAAGGACCAGCTGACCAAGTAGTCCCCAAGTTTTCTCTCTGAAGTGGAATGGGGGGGGGGGTGACAGGGGCAGGGAGCATCACTTTGACCTGGAAACTCACCAACATCCTTGAGCCCTGCCCCATGCTTGGTACACACACATCCTTCCTCTGTGCCCAAACAGGAACAAAAAAATCCCAGCGGCCAAGAAACAAAATTCTCTTCCCTTGTTCTCACTAGCACATCTGGGAAAGACATTGCCAAAGGGAACTTTGCTTATAAACTAGAAGAAAACAAGGAAAGAACATCCTCTTAAGAAATCAGTGGAAGTTTCTAATTTGTTCTTTCTCCTACTTCCTCTTTTGTTGTCTTAGCGGAAAACACTAGACTGACACTCCGCTAGAAATTAAAGAAAAAACTTATGGGAGGAATTAAGTCATCTGGAAATGGGGAGACATTGGCAGACGTGCGAGCTAGATGTCAGAGTGTTCTGAGTAGCAGAGAACTGTAAGGTTTTAAAGGATCTGTTTAAAGGATCCTGGCAGGTAGAGGTGGGAGAGGCAGCATAGCAGGGAACAAACTTAATCATCAGCAAGCTTATCTGTTACATCATTTCTAAGAGCTGTTACATCCTGAGGGTTGTTTAACAAAACATGCATTCAGGTGTTAACACTGCTGTCATCACTGAAGTCTGATTCCTTATCTTACAATTTTACAAGGCATCTGACTGCTTAGCCACTAAGGCTGGCGGTTCAAACCCACCAGCCACTCCTCAGAAGGAAGGTTGGGCAATCTACTTCCATAGTGATGTTGTTGCTGTTGTTATTTGCCATCGAGTCACATAGCGACCCCTCCTTGGGTTTCCAAGGCAGTATCACTACAGAAGTAGGCATGCCCAACCTTCCTTCCGAGGAGTGGCTGGTGGGTTTGAACCGCCAGCCTTCTGGTAGTGATACTGCCTTGGAAACCCAAGGAGGGGTCACTATGAGTCAGATCCAACTTGAGGGCAGTGGGTTTTTTAGTAGACACACAGTGGGAGATCCCAGTGAGTGAGAAAGTCATTTGGGACTAAGATTTGATATTTACCTATCTCAGCTGCAAAGTTCTTTACAAGTTGTAACTTCAAGCAACAACATCAGTTCTATTCCCCAGTCTTCTGCTTAACAGTCTTAGTAGGCAGTAAGTGATTCTTCACGGAGGCTAGAAATCCTGACTCCTGCCTTCTTTGTTATTTAAAAAGTAAAACTGACAAAAAGACTGAACGGTTTCTTTGAAAAGTAGAAGTTCACAATTGGGTTTAATTTAGGCCTGAAGTCTGCCTAGTTCAGATGTGTCAGCACCTCAGTTTGTAAAGATTCGTGTCCACATTGCTCTTCCCTTCCCAAGGAGGAGTTAGTCTAGGAATTCCAGTTAGTGATGTTCGGGAGTAAATACAGGTCCCCGCTGGGGTTGGTACTAATTTCTGGGAGAGCCTTGCCCTGCTCAGCTCTTTCTGCTCTCCAGCGGCGTGGAAATGCGGAAAGTTACAGCCAGGCTCAGGCACCTTCCCCAGTGCCCAGATACTTAACCTGTTGACGGTCCCTGTACTTCTGCAATGGCTAAGTTGTTCCTTCTAAGTTGTTCCTTCTTGCATTCTTCCTTTCTTTTTCTGAATCTTGTGAGCATGTGGAGTTGGAGGCTGAAGGACCATGACATGATTTAGAAAGCTCTTGTGGAGACCTTGCTATGAGGTTATTTGAGGTGAATAAAAAGATGACCAGTTGAGATGAGAGCACAAATTTAGAGAGGGCTGGTCCTCCCGGCTGAGGTTTGTTGAGTTTGGGGCTAGTGCGGTGCCCTTCTAAGCTCTTTAAATATGTGGACTCACATTATTCTGACAGTAGCCCAGAGATGTAAGCGTGACTGCATACTGTAATCTCTGTTATCAGGCTTAGTGCATCAAGGAACTTGCCTGAGGTCATGCAGCTGGTGAGTTGTAGAGCTAGGTTACAGGGCAGCTCTGTTCCTCCCAGAGCCTAGCCTCTGTGTGCTTTTCTCCAGCAGTGCCCTCTGGAGGCGGAGGCACAGGCAGAGGGGAGGACTGACAAGGTGGATGCTGGGGGCATTTAAGAAAATGCAGGCAAGAGTGGAGAGTGCCGAGGGAGGTGTCTTGAAATACCTGACCCTGCCATTACTAGTGTGTGAACAGGGAGCAGGGAGTCCAAAGACCTGAGTTTGAGACCCAGCACCTCCACACATAAGTCCTTGCTAATCCTCTTGGAATTTCAGTGCTTGTCTTGCCAGGTTGTGGTGAAGATCAAGGGAGACATGCTTTGTGAATTACAGAGACAGCACGTGTGTGTATGATAGCTTATAGTACCTGGGTTGGGAACAAAACTCAAAAAAAAAAAAAAAGAGACCAGGTTTACTGGTCTGTTAACACCCTTCAAACCTAGCACTGAATCCTACCTCTTTAACTTTAAGCCAAACAATAAACAGGCCTGTAAGGTGGGTTGGAAGGTAGCTCTGGTGGCATTTGACTGCTAACCAGAAGGCTGGAGGTTCAAACCCACCAGCCACTCCTCAGAAGGAAGGTTGGGCAATCTACTTCGGTAGTGATACAGCCTCCCCTAGGAGGGGTCGCTCTGAGTCGGATCCGACTTGATGGCGGTAAGTTGTTTTTTTTTTTTTTTTTTATAAGGTGGATTGACTTCATGGGTCCCTTATAATTTCTCAGCCTTGGCTGTATCATTTGTGCCCAGGTAGCACAGATCCAGATTCTAGAACCCCTTCATGTTACTAAGGTTCTGTTCAGCAGTGTGTTGTGAAGGTTAGTTCTTCTCTATAAACACCACCTTGTTATGCTGTCACAATTGGTAGGTCTTATTTCACTTTAGTTTTCTAAATAAATCAATGTTCATGTACTAATTAACATTGGCTTATTACATTTTTACAGTGAAAATTCAATATTACGTTTGTCTTGTTCTCATCAGCAAGTCAATTTTTATTGCCATTTGAAAGTTTACAGAGCCAATTAGTTTTCTGTTCAACAATTCATACACATTTTGTTTTGTGACATTGATGCAGTCCCCACAGCGTTATAGCACACTTCCCACTTCCTCCCTGTCTTTACCAATTCTTACTCCTTTTGATCTTGTATAAGGAGCTATGGTGACATAGTGCCTAAGGCATTTGACTGCTAACCAGAAGGTTGATGGTTCAAATCCATCAGCCACTCTGTGGAAGGAAGAATAGGCAATCTACTTCCATAAAGATATACCACCTCAGAAACTCAACAGGGATTGCTGAGTCAAAGATAGCTGTGAGTTTGCTTTGTTTTTGTTTGCTTGTTTTGATCTTGTATGGCTCATTGTTCTAAAGAATGCATATCTCCCTGGTGTCACCTTATGTTGTTGTTTGCCGAGTCAGCCCGGACTCATAGGACCCCTCCTTTGGTTTCCCAGGCAGTATCACTACGGAAGTAGGATTGCCCAACCTTCCTTCCAAGGAGTGTCTGGTGGGTTTGAACCACCAGCCTTCTGGTGAGCAGTCAAGTGCCTTAGGCACTATGCTACCAGAGCTCCTGGTGTCACCTTATAGGCCTATCTCTTGTTTGGCTGTTGACATAGTGCCTAAGGCATTTGACTTCTAACCAGCAGGCTGGTGGTTCACACCCACCAGACACTCCTTGGAAGGAAGGTTGGGCAATCCACTTTTGTAGTGATACTCCCTGGGAAACCCAAGGAGAGGTCACTATGAGTCAGACTCGACAGCAGTGCGTTTGGTTTTTTTTTTTTTAATTGTTTGGCTGAAAGTTGAGGGGATTCAGTTCCAGATTTGAAGGGTGCTATGAGACCAGTAAGCCTGGTCTTTTTTATGATTTTGAGTTTTGTTCCACATTTTTCTCCTGCTCTATCTAGGACCTCCTATTATGATCCCTTTCAGAGCAGTTGGCAGTGGTACCTGGGCACACAATCTAGTTCTTCTGGTTTCAAGGTCGTTGAGCCAGTCACATGATCTATTAGTCCTTTGGAGTCATTGTTTCCTTAAATCCCTGATCTTTTTCAGTCTTCATTGCTCTGGATGGGGCGAGACCAATAGTTGCACCTGAGATGGAAGTCAAATAGTTTTCAACGGTCACGTACTCCTTTCCTCTTCCTGTTGTTGTTAGCTTTATTTTAAGGCCTGTCTCTGGGTAGAAAAGCTCTCCTTATTTTGAAATACATTTTACAGTGTAGTTCACCTGGACTTGAACTGAGGAAGAAGCATATTTCTGTTATTTCGCGTATACCAGTGGGCTCTTCAGAGGCTATGAGGATGTCACTGTGTTCATGGACCACATCATAAAGCTCACCCAGAGAAAAGTCAGTGACTAAAACAATGATTTTTTTTTTCTTCCAGGAGTAGTTGTTGTTGTTATGTGCCGTCGAGTCAGACCCGACTCATAGCTACCCCTCCTTGGGTTTCTGAGGCAGTATCACTATGGAAGTAGATTGCCCCATCTTCCTTCTGAGGAGTCGCTGGTGGGTTTGAACCTCCAGCCTTCTGGTTAGCAGGCAAGTGCCTTAGCCACTATGCTACCAGAGCTCCCTTCTTCCAGGAGAGGCAGGGTTAATTAGTTTTATAATATGTAGGATATTAAAGCACTTAACCTCATTCTCCCATCTTAAATCTTTGGAGTATTTACTTAGGTTATCATTATTATTAATTGCCATTTATGTATTACAGTCATCCTTTAGGTTGCCTACTGTTGTGGTTACATTTGTGTGTCAACTTGGCTGGGCCTGGTTGAGTGGCTGGGCAGCTGGATGTAGTATTCTCCATGATGAGACTGGTAATCAGCTCCATGGTGGAATCTACTGGGAGCAGCTGAGTAGCTGCCTTTGGGTATGTGGTCTGCTTCCCATATATAAGCAGCAGCTTTGGGAATGGTCTCTAGCTTATAGCATGCTTGGACCCTGCATGTAGCTGTGTCGTTATTCACCAGACTGCCATACTCTGCCCACGTTGGGACTTAAAATGGACTTGAAGTAATAGCCTGCTGTGTGGGTTGGTATCATCAGGACTGTGCCTTTTTACTTGTCAACCTTGGATTTGTCGACCTCAGCGGCCAGTAGCTGCCTGAGTGAAGAAAAGCCTTCAGCTTCAGTGGTCTGGGAGCAGGAGGCAGAGCTGCAACCCAAGGTTGAGGGGCTTTCACCCAGCCCCTGGCACTTTGAACTTGGACTTAAAGCCTCCAAATTGTAAGAATAAACTCCTGTTTGTTAAGGCCATCCCATTTGTAGTATATTCTTGTCAGAGCGGCACTAGGTAACCAGAACACCTACTTATAGACTAGTATTTTGAAATACATTTTAACATAAATAGCTGCTAACTGTAATGTATAACTGCTGAATTGTAAGATGGTTTTCAGAATTATATAGTGGTGTGGTTTTTTTTTTTTTTTTTTTTTTATATAATTGGAATGTTGGTGGAGAAGGAGGTTGTGGCTCTCACTCA